AGCTGCACGCAATGACATACACATTTAGACAGCTCGTCCAAGCATCCCTTCCATGCATCTTTAGTCGTCCCATTTTCGTCTTACTCCTTAAACCTTATACATATTTATTTCAATACACGGATTCTCATGTTTTCCTCGCCACTTTTGCATTATTCTGGACTAACGTTTCCGTTACTCGTCTGGATTAAATACACTAAAGTTATCGTGAGCCATGCCTTCAAGAGTGGATTCACAGAGCTCACCCAATGATCCAGAGGTTCACGGTGCATGATGTATCCGCCCTCGAACTGCTTTTTGATTCCCCATGGAAAATTGGGTAGAGCAGCGTTTTGCTAAATAGTAAAATAGCTGTTTTGAAAGGTAGAATGAACTTTATTTGGGACAAATACAAAAAGCAGTTGAAACAAAAAGTAAAAGTACGAGGAAGTAAGGTAAAATATGCGGAAGTGATTATCAAACGTAAAAAGATCCAGTTCAAGAACCCTGTCGAATACGGGCGCCACTTGCTACTGACTACAACTTATAATCATTTCGATTCTTCATACCAGTAACACTTTTAACTACTGTGTAAAGATGAGAGAACAATCTGAGAAATTCGCATGATAGGCATGGCAAAAGAAAAAGCGATGGGACTGGTAATTCTACAACGGCAGTCCCATTTGTAATTTATGTTTTATGACTGAGATGTTTCCACTTCACGAACTAATAAAGCTGTTTATTCCTCGAATGTAACAATTAAGGTCGCTTCCTTGTTTATTTGTAAATCAGCTTCAATGTAGGTCAGCAGGGCTGAACATAATTCCGGTTAGATTCGGAGCCAGATAAGCATGGAACAACTCAATCCATGGACTGAACAGCTATTACCATTTTTTGATCAAAGGAAGAGTAATTCAAAAACAGAGTGTTATACTTCTCCTTCAGAAAGCTCTTAGATTTCTATAGTGCTCAAAAACAAGTCTGAGGTGCCAAATTGTTTGAGGGGATTTACCAGTTTTTCCTACTTATGTACTACTTGTACTTGCCTATCGCTTTATCCTATTGGAAGCTTCTTGAGATACTTTTAGGTAAACAGAAAGGGCAGTGATTTAATTATGTTTACTAAACTTTGGAGGTAAGCTGTTGTAGTAAATGCCAAATAAATAATAAATAAATGCTCAATAAATTTCACTGGATCAGGCCAACAGTAGTTGCCTTGAAATGGAACTGACCATGAGCTCAATATAAAAGTCAGATCGATAATATCCTATGGATGGAACCGGAACGGCCGCTTCACAATGAAACAACGAAAACGATTCTCTCGAGTTTAAAACGAATTTGATTACTGGTTTGTTACTGTCACAAAGTTACTCGATTGAATAGAAAAACGAAAAAGGCATCAAAGATAGGCAGCACAGATGATTGATTGTTTTGGGGAAAAAAGCAACTCGCTCGTATCCATTGTAGTAGTACCTTTCGATTGGTGACATAAGAAGCGGCGAAAATAGAACCATTGGGATGCGCCATGTTTTTGAAACTTATTAAAGGTGACTGTGTCTGTAACTGGACGAACAAGGACCTGAAGAGCTGGTGACAGCTCTAGTGAGAATTTTTTAACAGTGAATAGGTTTTACTAGAGGTCAACTTAGAAGTCGTCAGATGCCTGATTGGCCTGGCTGAGATCCGATCCAAGGATTGGGCCCATAAGATCTGCCTTTTTTCATTTCACTGGCCTCCTTTCTGTTGGTCACACAGTATCTGTAAGTCGGTCAGGATCTCCCTTTCGGGAGTAAGAGATATTTCAGATCGAATCTCCGCCGCGAGCACTTTCGACGAGTTTGAAGTGACTGGCGGCAGTCTGAACAAGAGCCATGGTCAACTTACAGTTCCAAAATTAACTTCTTGTCATAAACAGTAAGTTTATGAACGGGAACAAATTCTTCAACTTACTTCCGTGTCGAAAGATAGCAGGGGTGAATTTTGTTACTAATCGAGCTCATTTTCGTAAGCAATTTGAAGGCATAAAAAGCCCGGCTGCCCTGTAATGCACCGGGATTGCTGCTTATGAAAATTTGTATATATGGCCAAACAGGTTGTTTTTTTCATGGTCGACTGATCCGTTTGCCATTCCTTTGAGTTGGAGGTCAGGCTCGATTCATACCTATTCTAATGGAACAGTTTTGTGTATCACTGTGATGGCGATCGCGCTATATTTACTCGTATCTGTACACGAATAAGGAGTAGGTTTACCGGTGGGGGTTATTTTTCATCTTAGAGACTATCGAGCATTCTCAACCTTCCCTTTAAAAGAATAAATTGCAATCCTTTGAAACCAATATAAACAAAACTTAGGACTTGAAAAATGCTACCAATGTTTTAGGGTACCCCTAAAGACTTCAACTTGAAGGAAAGCAAAATTCTCATCCTGTCGGTAAACGGTGTAGTACCAGTTATGGAGTGTTTATGGTGAGTCTAGCCTCTCTAATCTTCTAGCTTCTAAGCGGAAACCCTTCTGTTTATATTGTTCTGTTCTAACTAGACGTCCATTTCCACGTCGTTGCTGTGAAACTGGTCCTCAGGTCTTCAGGGAATATGAGTTCTACGATCCTAAGTAGCCAATTATCAACCCCTAGCCTTCAGCTTTGTCCAGAGAATTCTGCAGCATCAGGTCAAAAACCGGGCGATATGAAAGTTTGCAGCCTGCAGCCTACAAGAAATCTACAGGTTCCGTGCTACATACCACTCTATCGCTCACAAATTCCAATTTTTTACAATTGATGGTTCCGATAAGATTTCCATCTACCAGCATGTTTGTTCAAATACATCGGTTTACGCGGTTCAACAAACTGTTTCGAGGCATCCATCATTTAATTCACCATCCAGCGACTTTTTCTACATCGAACGCATTTCACGAGTGTGTAATGCGTTGGAACCAGTGCGCCGTAATTCCTAGCTAGATGTCTCGCCGCACGGCATGTCGCTCGAATTCAGGGGGCGTCGTTGTACATCTATGAAGTGTATGTAGCAGCAGCTGCTTTCATAGTCCGCGATTTGGCCAGCGAGCGAGCGACGGGGGCGACGCTTGCCCATTGTTTACAACTGAATCCTGATCGATACCGCTGGACGAGTAGCCCCCGTCACTCGCTCGCGCGCTCGCGGGCCAAGTTGCGGACTATGAAAGCAGCCAGCTTAGTCACCCACCATGTCGTGGTAGGACGCACAGCAACGTGCTAGTGGTGTATTACTGATCCATTCAAAATGTCTTACTGTATATAGTTCTCATATTCATATGCCAGTTGTACATTGCAATAAAGTACTTTTACTACTTGCTTAGCATTGACTGCTTCTAAACCGCGACTAACGATTATTTTCAATAAAAATGTAAAGAGATCAATAAAATCTGTACGACTATGCCAGTAAACGCATCACCGTGACCGTGATCCATGCAATTTTTGTGTATGGCTACAGCATAAACGATGATGAGACGATGAAGGAAACGAAAACAGAAATAACACATACAAACACCCGAGCGGACCCCTAGAAGCTCGATCTATTCGATGAAAGCGAACCACGCAGTCAACACGTTGTTCCTGCACAAAACCGCTTCCACCACGACATTACTACTATAGATAAAGTAAGAAAAAGTAAATTTTGCTACGATAGTGTAGCTAAAAAGATTTGGAGGCGATGTGGCAGCAGTTGTGTAGCAAGACGACGGAAGAATAGAGCAATATGGATAGTTCAAACACAAAAAGTAAACAACTAGTTGGTCTAGACTCTAGTAGTAATTAGGAATACTGAAAGTACGAATCATTTCAGTCCATGGCGAAATCACATTGCTACACGATACTGGTTATACTGTAGATCCTAATGATACCAATGGATCACAATCCTACAATTATCAGCTGATCGATAAGGTCATTTGTGCGATTGAATATATGGTTGATGTCGAACACACGGCGCACAAATGATGCCACTTTCTGTAATTAGATCACTTTAGATTTTGTAAATGACGAGAATAAAAATATTCTTGCTTGGGCAGGCATTTAGAAGGATTAACCACGGTCAATAAGTTCGTCGCTCGTCGCGCGCGCCTACAGTAAGCAAACTATCATGGTCGGCGAGCGGTCGATTCGCGCGACCCGCCGTCAGACTCAACAGCGTTCCTTTCGGTTTCTCGATTCATTGGCTCCCTTGGCACTCATCAAAGTGGTAGATTAAAGGTTACAAGTAGCCCTGGGTTGCATACATGGTACCCATGGAAATTCGAATTTTCCTAATCTCAGGATTAGAGTCAAATGAAACTTTTGAACCATAAAGAATTAGGGAAAAGACTTCAAGCTAGTGAGGTCGCCTGTTGTGAACTGATCGAAATCGAGCTATTCGGAACGAAAACCAACTAACGTTTAACGTAGCTGTCATCATCAAAAGATTGGAGAACAACAGTTGTGATGCTTTGCCACGTTCGTTGCTGATCCACAAAAATAACTGGCTAAGCAGACGAAGTCGTTCTGCTTCAATCGTTTTCTTGCCAGTAGATGACAAGCCCTCGGCATCTGAATAATTTCATATTGAAGTTCCTGTTACAGTAGAACTTCAAGCATTTTTTTACTTTGCAAGCCTGTGTAAACAGTTTAGTTGCAAAAAAGTTATAATAATTCCAGCTCAAACCTCGCTTTGAGCATTTCGTGCTTACAACCGCCTTTCTGATTCACTTTCCGACAGCAGCGCGTACTTGATTATTGCGGTCAGTTCTGATTTATTCTAGTATCGACAATAATCGCCATGCATGCTTATACCATCAGAAAGAAAATGACTCAATGGAAGACCACGCCCGGCGCGGCGGTGATCTTTGAAAGACCGCCCATCGTTCCCATTGGTGCGCGAAAAGAGCGCACCAATGGGAATCTTGGACGATCCTATAGTTCGCTGCACGCGAACGCTGTTCATACGAGAAAAAAGTTCCTTTATGGAGGTAAGTGTCTTATAACCACTATATTTTTAACATGCGTAACGTGAACATCACATATAAAAAGGAGCAGAATGCTGAAGTGCATTGAAACCCGCCTGGATTATGTAGTAACAGCATTTTATACAATACAATATGGTGTTGTTTAATCTGTAGACGTCGCATGAGCTTGAAACATCCCTCAATCAGGATCGTATACATCTCTTCACTGAAAAAAAAAAACGTGAAATTTCCTTCCTCACAGATATGATTGAGGGAAAAATTTGATCGAAATTGCACAGCAGGCTGTTCTTACGTGTGATTGATATCGTTGACTTTCTCTATAAATGTGCCGTCCGGATAGTTCAGCCGGTCGATTGTTGTTTGTTCACAGTCGGGCTCTTGCTCTGAACATTGCAAATGAGGCGAAGCAAATTAAAGGGGAACTTGGCCCACTTAGGTCTGTGACAATAAATGAAAAAAAGATCGCACGGTAGAGATCGGATATCGTATCGGGATGTGGGATCTCCTACCCGAACGGCGTGTCGCGCCCGCCGCACCCAATCACTCTTTGGGGGGAATATTTGAATTTTTAGTGGAAGGATACGGTAATTGCTACTAACCCACTGTGGCTAGCCGTGGGAATCTAAACAGAAATAACGCCACCAAGATCTTGCACTATCATGATTAAGGATATCCTGGTCTCACAACTCAAAGGAAATGAGCCATACTCTGGAAGCGCTGCGGGACAACTAGCTGCAACCAATCCAGACATGCGGCGAGGCAAGACAACTAGCCAGTATTCTCTGTCAGGGGCTGGGTATAACGCCACACAGCCGGTTTCTCACAGAACTCCTTGCTTTGTTTGAAAATTTAATTGATAAACAAGTAGTACTTACTAATTACTATGCCGTTATCTTCTGGTGAAGTTGTATAGTAAGCCAATTGAAGCAACGGGAATATTGGTGCAAATGCCTTCATCAACGCTAGCTAAAAGATTTGCGGGAAATTATTTATTCCATCTCGTTTGGCAAAGAAAAAAATCCAAAATACCTTATCGTTAAGAAGTAGACGATCCATGATTGGCAAACATTTGCCCCATTCCATCATCAAAGACAAATCTCGTACAAACCATAAACGGAGTGATTCAAGCGTACATTGAGATGGTAGTGTTGTAGTATGCTGAAAGAAAAGGAAAATTACGATAATGTAACGAGTAAACTTTTAGAACTAATGAGTTAAGAACGTATCGAAAAATATCACTTAAGGATATAATCTGGTCGAAAAACCTGATCATAACAAAGTGATAGGGCGTATGCCGCAACTATAAAGTCTTCCAAGAATGGGGTAAGAGGAATTGAACGAGCTGTCATAGAAAAAATCTCCGTTTTTTTTTTCGATAGCGTATCAATTGAAAGACCCATAATCATAACGGACCAGTTCCGATCATTAGCTTGTGAATCCCGAGGTGTAGAGGGCTCTACCCGCTACGGACTGTTTGGCTAGTTACAAGTTGAACATTGTAGATTACTGAAATAAGTTCTAGTTCAGTTATTTCGATCTTTTCTGGGGGTCCAGGATCGAAAACAGCGATAAAGGCTTGCGCACGTAAATATGGACGCGGATCTGGAATAACTCGTACACTCCTAAAAGATGAATGTCCAAACTACAAGGTCTTGGATTGCGCCCAACACGGATCGTTACGGAACATACATCCTAACTAACTTATTCAAAAATTTTGTATAAAATCTAATTAATTTGGGACCCATGTCCTTACTCATAAATAAGGCTAACTTCATATTGAACGTACCAACGGTTGTGAGTTCTCCCTCATCCACTCATAGTCATCAAAGAGACACCTGCAAATAATCTAATTTAGCAGCAAATATGGCTGCTAGTATGACATAAATAGTATTTGTTTACTAGTTCGGCTTTTCGTCCTAATTAGATGCTAACGATTTGCTGAGTTATGCCTCGCTTCAAACACCTCTATTTTTATACTGCTATAGTCGATCTGCTATACTAACACATACTACTAGGGTGAGATAGGGGAGGTACCAGACGGTCAAAGAAAACCTGTCACATATACGGCGCATCAGAATGAGGTTAGGGGTAGGCCCAATAGGGCCGTAGTAAGGCAGAAAATAAGGCATGTCATGATGTGAGGAGCGATCTGGCCTGTTTCTATGCTCGGATCACTAGAATGGGAATTCCTACACCTTATGGAGGTCTTGCTCGAAATAACTAATGGTTGAGCCCTTCCGTTGAAGAACTCAGTATATTTTTTTCATTCCCCGCAAAAAGAGACATTTTTATCAAACCTCTGATATCCGAGCGTCAGAACTCGTTTACTGCAGTAATCCTACGATGTAGTAATGAATTATTTATACCTGTTATACATGCAACTTGTCGCCGATGTGTGTGGTTCAAAACGGCATGCTCGTCGGACCATATGCATTTTCTCTTCCAATCTCATCAGATCGTCAACAAGCAGTTTTACGTCGTTCTAAAAAAACTAATTTGAAGGAATTCAATAGTACTAAATAGGAAAAACTTTTGTTGCTGTCAAAAAAGTTTTCAGGGGTTTCCCGGGATTTTCAGCTGCTCCTACAGCCTACTCGGGCTTACTCAAGGTGATACTATTTTTGACATGTCGTCGAATAAAACAGAAAGCAAAAGAGTCTTAGAGATATTTAATATAACGAGATTGTTACCTTTTTTTAAATCTCTTTCAATCATTATAAACATTGAACACAGTCCTGCTAGAAGGGGCTGTAAGGGGGATCACTACTGATGTTTGATCTCATGTCTCTGAGTTCTCGACCTCCTAAGTCCAAACATTCGAGGCCAAAGGTTGCCTCGAATGTTTGGACTTACAGACTACCTTACAAAGTTCCTGTTCCTCTCGGCGTTTCCGACGCCGCGTAGCGGAAGCCCAAGTAAACATGCCCAAAAAACGTCAAACTCGGCCCCATCCCATCGATGGTGTGGGGCATCAGTTCACATCGAGGGCAAGGGCGTCGGGAGCGTTCACTAGTAAAGGTCATAAACGTGAAGGGCGAGAAGGTTTGTCAGAGACAATTTACAAGTAAAATAACTTCTTCTAAGCACCTTCAGACTTTTGAAGAGAACAATAATATCGAAATGTAAGGATAGGTAACACTGGATTTTCAACTATCAGCCTATTTTGAGTAAAAATAAACCTGGGTAACAAGTAATGCCCAGGCTACAGTGGAGGACAGTAGGTAGATAGCAAGGACACTTCTCTTTAAGAACGTCCGAGGATCTGCTCAGAATTACAAATAATATAAAGTCAAGGAGATCTAAACTCCAAAAAAGAGAATTACATTAGCGAAAAAAGCGAAGGAACAAACCTGAGACTCTAGATCGAATGCCGAGTTATCAAGCTCTGGGATGACCATCATTGTACTAGACGAAGGAGTGGATGTATTGACATACTGGTCAGACCTGAAAAGTAAAACAAGTAATAATGCCTGTGTCTTGTTTTCATGAGAGATCAATGTCCAAAGTATCATTCCGCACCTGAAGTTGCATAAGCAACAAGAGATGTCAGATAAAATGTGATCGTTAGTGATACATCTATTACACTGTCCCTAATAATAAGTAATTTAGTAATTATATAAATTTATTGCTATTACATTTAATTTTACAATAGTTTTAATGTGGGAACTGACAATGCTGTGAAGTAAGTGAGTAAATTACACCGTCGATGGCTAATTGTGTGATAACTAACCTAAGTGTCTTAATAGAAGCAAAATAAAGATTCCTTAATTTCAATTGGTCTCCTGACCGGATTCTCGCCCTGATTCTGGATTTACTACCATCAATTAGCAGGGTAAGCTAGTGGTTAATTAAGATAAGATGTGATATAATGTTTTACTTATCAATACTTACAATTAGTGGTAATAGTTATACGTCATTTCACATGCTTATAGCATGTCCGTNAAAACTTCGTCGAAATAGTTAGGTCTAACTGGTAGAACAGTTAGAACTGTAAAATTTCGTTCTAGAGTAGTAAATGATACTAGATGGTAATCCAATTGCTACAATCCAACTCTCCATCTACGATTTCTCATTGCAGGGAAGGTAGGTGTTTCCAGTTGATAAATAACTTTCCTTCCTTTGTTCTTTTTTTGCTTATATCTTACAATAATGCTCATTAGACAAAATGATCACTTACACATACTGTTTATGTTATCAGTGTAGCTAGAATTATCACATTTGCTGCATGGTTGCAGAATTTTCACAGCGACTCTATTTTAATCAAGTTTCAATTTACTGCAAAAAAATGTAAGATCTCAAAGATTAACGAATGAGTAAGGAAATGGACATCAAACATTACTGACGTACTGTAGCTTCTATATTAAAGCCTACAAAAAACAAGTAAAAAAGCAAAATAGTTACTTACGCTGCACTGCTCGGGCTGCCAACCTCCTCTTTTAGCGAAAGTTCTGATTGCTCTTTCAGTCGTCGTTCTTCTTCTTTCTTCTTCTTCAGCGCTTTGGTATAGCGGATTTTGTCTCGATCATGTTGTATGGCTGAAAAAGTTGAAATATTCGAAAGTTTAGCTTACTAGTAACGAGAGAATTCGAAAATCTCTATTATGAGATGACAACAGATAAATGAATGATTCATTGAAGCAGAGGATCTCCCAAATTCGACTAACAACTTAGACAGTGACCCTGGAATACATAATGGCCATCACTGAGGCTGTGGTACTGTTTTCCTTCAGAGGGTACAGTTGACATTCTGTCCTTCAAGGTGAGGATAACTTTACTAAAGCCTTACTTAGGTTGTAAGGTTGTGAAAGGGGGATAAACTAGCTTCGAAGAGTAGTAAGGCGTTGGTGAATTACTTGAATGGCATGCGAGTAGACTCACAAGGTTGCCGAGTTATGGACAAATCTTCGGCCTCGGGCGGGACTCGAACCCGTATTTATGCTATCCGGACACCCTGCTCTTATCCCTTACGTTACAGGGACCCCGCTTACCATCTCCTAAGGTGCCTGGATAGCCTAAGTAAGAGTTCGAGTCCTGTTCGAGGTCGAAGATCGGTCTATAACTCGCCAACCTTGTGAGACTTTCGCATCGCCTACTGCGGCGATATAACAGCACTTAACAAACATCATGTCAAAGCAAGCTATGAGTAGGCTGTTTCTCAAGTTCCCTGTTTCAACCCCAAAACTCTTCTGACTGCAGGAAGGGCTATCCCTCTTTCTTGGCCAGTTGCCATGTTTCATCAGAGAACATGGCGATTTCCCTTCTACGAAGTGCAGCGCGTAACACGCCGGTTGCCATTAGCCCATAAAAGTTCAAGAGTTGAACAATTGGCACGCAAAAGGCGAAGGTCGACCCGAATTCGGGGACCAGTGATCACTTGATCGAACGTTCTAACCAGAAACCCTTTCATTTTTGAGAGCCGACTAATTCTTGTACAAGTTATGGAGTCTTACATACTACTATCGTTAAGAACACTGACCCTGATAAGGGCAATTCTTACCAAAACGGTAGGTCTATTGAATTCTTCAGTTCGCTGGTCAACTCCGAGTAGTGAGACTGGTTGGTCCCCATTTCTTACTATATTGCCTGTTATCGAATTTTTATATTTATTAATTTATTAATATTTCTGTTACTGCCTAGTGCTACCCATCGTAATTTTATGTGGGCGGCACTAGATCATTCTATGTTATTGCTCTATTTCTCTTCTGCCACATCCGAGCGACTCTTATGGGTGTCATAAATAAATAAATATTGTAAGAGAGTTTTAAAGTAGTTAAACAAATCATTTCTGGAATAGTCAGGAAGTTTGGGAAGGTCCACAGACCGCAAAAATTTTATGTTTGACAAATCCCAGACTGGAGAAAACCCTCAACTTTCTCTGGCTTAAAGCTCAGACGCTGACAATCTAAATATCCAATCTTTGCAATCTCATTAGAGCTTCAAGAGATTCTCGATTTCGGAGCAACAGAAGGGTATTCCGAGGGGAAGCACGCAGACTGTTTGAAGTAGACTGGCACAGTTAAGACCAATGCATTAAGGTATTTCTTGAATTTTCGAGATATTTTAAGCGTTCACATCAAATCAACAAAAATGGAAGTCTGATACCGGGGAATATGATGTCTTCAACCCGAAAAATAAGGATATGTCCACGAAACAAAGCGAAAGCCAAGGAAAGCCAGCCTAGTTTATCTGAGCCAAGGCAAAAGTTTGCTAATGCAAGAATTTCTAAGTCGTACCTCCCTTCCCTAGTTCCTAGCCAATTGTTACTCCCTGTCGTCCCTTTCATTCAAGCTAGTATTTCTGGGATAAATAGGCAACTGTGTAGGTAAACTGGCTTTTGTAGGAATTCGGGCAACACTGAGACATCTCCAAGTGAAAGGTGGATGAATCCAAGCTATTGGAGTGAAAAGTTCTTAAACAGGCTGCACTTCTTCCCCAATACCAACCACTTGAAGGGAAGAAATTCTTGCTAAAACTAATTACTGGTAGTTAGTGATGGAAGTCAGAACAAACTTTTCGTTTTTACTGTTGAGTGGTGAGTTTTTTTTTTGGCTAAAAGTAGCCATTGCACACTATTTTTGCCATCATTGGTGACCTTTATTCTAGACTTAATATTAAGTAATAATAAGTAATAAATAGTTAAATGTAGATGATGATCACGTTTGCGAATCACATGCTCTTTTGCTATATCATTTTAACTAAATCAAGAGAGTTTCGACATGAAATTTTTGTTAACTGCTATGCGGGAGTACGGGAAGTTATTATCACTATATATTATGAGAAATCATTTGGTTAATAATGCTTCACTGAAACCCCTTAGCCATTGAAAATATTCACATCGTGTTACACTCGTATATGTATGTTTGGGCACGATTCATGGACAACAACAGCACATATCGAACGGAATGGGACGAAAAACAACCAAATAATTGGTGGCGTGAGATGGGGACGAACTTGGACAATACCATTTTACTATGAACAACAACCTTGTATTAAGATTTGCAGAGAAAAAATGTATTTATGGAAAGGACTTATCGTTATGCAGCTTGCACGTGCTGTAGCAAAAAAACATCATTTTTTCCAAGCAACGAACGAAAAAGGCAGGAGATTTCGCAGCTTTGCTGGTCATGGGGTTCAGTATCATAAATTATTATTGCCAATTACAACTCCACGTCAATTTGATGAATATTCATCCCAATAATCTCCACAAATGTATTATTTCCTCTGTGGTACTTTACGATTCAGCCTACAATTTACCGGATTATGAAATTCTTTGCGAGACCCACCCCGCCGCAATCTTTTTCAATACCGTATTTAACTAGTATTATTACTTACCTTTCGGGTCCATACCCATGTCGAAACATTTTTTCAAACGGCAACTGCGGCATACGCATCGGACAGCTGAAACATTCCGTAAATAAGGCAGACCACCTTTGATTCCAATAAAATCCGTGCCTATTCTTAATCAGAATCATGCGTACGACGTCATGAAAGAGGTTGTAATTATTGCGAGTCTCCGCTAACTAGTAGCCAGTGTAACCAGTTGCAACATTGTTATGAGTCTTAGCGCAAAAACCTTGATTCAACAGCCTATGTTGGCGTTTTCAACAAATCTTATTAGAACCAATTTTCGTAGTATATTTCAGGTTATTCAGGGGTAAAAGCTGTGCCTGGAATGCGATCGATCGCGGGACTACTGCCAGAAAAACAAACACAACGTCTCCGCGGCAGCGGCATGTCTAAGTTGACATGCGGCAGGAAAAAAAACATATATCGACACGATTTCTTCCGTTTCAATTCATCCCCGTAATAAACTGGGTGGTCCCGTGGAACCAATGGATCCCTAGCTTTGTGCTGGCTTAATTTGAACGATTAGAAAAAAGGGAAGAAGAAACTCACACTTGCCGACTACACAGTCTCCCGAGAACTGACATGTGAAGGTTTGTTTATTCTGAAAAAAAAACATTACTTGATAGTAATGACTCCAATAATTTTGTAAAGAAGGATCTTCGGTGTGTGTACTGCATACAATAAGTAAATTAACTTACTACAAGCGCACGGCGGAAGAAGGTTTTGCAACCGTTACAGCTTGGTACAGAATAGTGAATACCGCTTGCCATATCGGCGCACACCACACAGAGCGTGCCTTCCGGGATCTTTTCACGTTCTGAATGGAAATCCTTGAAATTCTGAGAGGTAACCCTTCGTCTCTGATGATTTCTGGCCACCAGGCTATGTATATTCTTATGGAAAAATATTGCTCGACCGTGTTCCGAACATGTGACTTTGGTCCCGGGCAATGTTGTTACGCATTGCGCCAGGGAAGTCACGTGCCACCTTGCCTTACCGTTTAACTGGAAAATTTTATGAAACTTGTTTTTCCGCTTCAGTTTTATTGTATACTTGCATAAATTTTGTACTGCTCGCTTTAAGATCGAAAAACTGCAGTAACAAACAGAGTAAATAGAAGTATGCATCATGCTCCTTCGAGTAACGGCCATTAGAAGGCGTGACAAAGAGGTCCCCAGAGGGATTTTACGTCCGATCATGGGGAAACGTCATGAGACCCGGGTGTCTATGGAGTGTGGTGGAACTTCCTGAACAAGAACTTACTTTTATTATGGGGAGCAATTTCATGATAGAGTACCATGGAAGTAGGGGTAGCTAGCATGACTACAGAGCACGTAGCAGTAGCAGTAGCAGCGGCAGCTCTTCGTTGTTATGAGGTGCGAGAGCTGTAGGCGTGGCGACGACTCACCACCCCACAACTCTCTCAATAACCCGGAATGGGCGGAACACACACACACACACACAGCACCTCGACAACTCCCGTGCCACTTGCAGTAACACGACTATGCTACAAAGGCTGACATTATTTATGCAACCTACAAAGTAACGGTTACTAGTAAAGCACACATTCAGTAGGACGTACAGAGAATTTGTTCGAAACGTAGAGAAATTGCAGCTGAAAAAATCTGAGCCTTCTGAAAGTTTAGAACAATAACCAGTTCTGATGCAAATTGAAGCAACATACATGTAGGGAATCAAAAGTAAGTTCTATAGAGGATTACTGACAGTAGGTTACAGTAATCGTTTGGAGGGCAACCCCTGCAGTGACTTAGAAAATGAACCTCCGAGAAAAAATAAACGTCTCTCAAACATTAAGACCTGTAAGGTCTTTGCGGGAAAAACCTGACCTCGAAAGTAATCAATAATCTCGAGGACTATCTCAGCTTCGTAGGTATTTATCGCTCACTCTTCATTCCGTGGCCGGTTTGTAGTAGGCCGGATCCACGAATAGCAATGATGACGTACGTTAGGGTACAAACAACAATAACAACTGTAACAATGTAGCAGGAGTATTATGCACAGCGATGTGGAAGCGCGAATTTTCCGCGCGGCAGGTGTCGCGAAAGATTTGTTCCGCGGTTATTATGGCGCAGGATGTGTCCCCATCACGTGGGTAAATCTTCACTCATTGAAACAACAATGCTTACCCTTAATGCGAAAAATACTTCCGTCAATGAGCGCTAACTCGTCCAAACGCTCGTCATTCCGTATTGATCTCGTACAACTCGAAAATCTCGCTGCAAAAGCAAGGGCAACGCGTGGCAGATTATTGACAGGCTCCTTTGCTTTCCTCGTCGCTAACGAACTTGTCAGCACCTCCTCTTATCCATATATAGCCATACGATATCTAGAGTACCTACGTGTGCGAGATTGCGCCACTTGGCGTGGCACCGGGATTGCCGCTAGACCCGGCAACTGTTTTGTGAGTTACTGTCTATTTACTGGTACTAACGGACTCTACAACGTCAAAAAGACAAAATAATTTGAATTTGAAAAACAGCTGGTTAAGTTTTCAGGCTCTAACTATTAATATATACATTGCATAGCTCAGCGGACAGCTTCTTCCAAGGCAATCAGATAACTCCGCACAAACAGGAAGACTCCACTTCAGGGACTTCCCGCTTATGCACCTCAATAGCCCAATGAACCAAAGAGGATATAAGGTGTCCAGACGACATCTGCGGGTAGAAATAAAATCAGCTAAACTTCTAACCTAATCGTATTCGATATCCTATATCTTCTGATAAATCTGAAAGTATCTAATCCTCTGACCGCATAAGACAAATCATCCCTTAAACGCACCATATAAAATAGTTTTTATTTGAAAATTTCTGCTTAAAAATGGAAAAAAGAAGTTCCGATATTATGTAAGACTAAAGAAGACAAAAACATCCTAAGACTTGGTTGAGCGTATATGTTCCCATTTCTGACGGGCCCACTCAACTTAGTTCAACAAATCCACTCTACCACTTGATCAATTGAATTATCTATATTTTTGTTTATTAATCTCAAAGTGCTGGCATGGTGCTAGTCGCTAACATTCTTCAAGAGAATTCGAGAATGAAATCATGACATGTTCTAAAATTTTCGATCACTCTAAAAAGAATACTTTCTGCTCTTTCGATTACTAATATTTTTCTGATTTAAGACAACATTACGTGAATTAATTTGAATTTGCATTAATTTTTTACATTAATTTACATTAATCATTACATAAGTAAATGAGCACACAGTAGGATATGGCAGGAGAACGAAAATTTTTCGCTGTTGGGGAACAGAAGCTCACAAAGGTTAAGGAAAGTTGACCGACCAAGAACATTATTCAGTTTTTCCAAAAGATCTCACCCCAGAAATTATACGGCAATTTAGTTTTCTCAATTACTTCCAAAAAAAGTTGTTCAATCCTTAGAAGCGAATTTCTGGTACAATATCTTATGCTAGTCCCTAATTAAATTTACCATAAATTATAAGATAAAAAATACAAAAACCGATGTACTTACTGCTGTTTGTCATTGGTATTTTCTGCACTTAATACGAATCAAAGTTCCATTAGCCTGAAAATGAGACAAATTAGTTGGAAATTACGGAAATAAATTTACATCGAAAACTTCGTCCG